CCTCCTCCTCCTCCTCCTCCTCCCCCTCCTCCTTCCCTTCTTCTCCTCCTCCTCGCTAGGAATGGGCGGCCCGAATACGACACCGGTCAGCATCACGACGAGCACTATATCAGCAGGGAAATGCTCAGCTGGACCAGTGATCGTGGCCAAGAGGCACACTATGCCGAGGTCGCCAATACCAGGTGCTGGCTGCACGAAGCGGCGGGGGGGGGAGAAGCGGACCGCGCTGGGCATACAGATGAGTGGCTGCACGCTGAAGCGCATGTCAGAGGCTGCGCGACTGAGTTTCGCTGGCGCTTGCTATCTGCGCGCGTACCGCCACGTCCCTCCACCACCTCGGCCATGTCACCACGAACACCTTCAGGAAAGCGCAGCGCGCAGACCTTTTCGAGAAAACGCTCGGTGCAATTTGGAGGCGGCGGGGGGGGGGGTAGCTGGTCGGGCCCTGAGAAAGTCGATCAAGAGGGAGGGTGGATGAGGCAAATCCGCTCAAAATCGGTCCCCAGACCCCTCCCAAGGCCCAGCTGGTGAACTGCTTCACCCCAGATCCGTTTCTGACGGCCCTGGGGCCCGCAAGCGGCCCCCCGGAGGCCGCACAAGGCAACAAAACCGTCTCGAGCCCAGCGACTCGAACCTCGCTCCCCCTTCCCGCCAGTGCTGGCTGGAACCAATGCTGGGCCACCTCGGACCCTCAGCCAATTCCGAAACGCAACTGACTGTGCTCGAGAGCCTCGAACGCACGAGTCCGACGCACGGCCACCGCGGTCGCAGAACGAGCGTCGTGCACCGCGCAGACGAGAAGGAAAACCACACGGCCCCCGCTCAGGAAGGCCAGCGGCACGCGTCGCCCTTGGCATGCACGGGCGATGGGACGCGCGGGCCCCGGACCCAGCATGTGGTGTTCGCCAAAGCAGCCAATTTCAGAGCGGGAGGGGAAGAGAAGAGGAGGAGGAGGAGGAGGAGGAGGAGGAGGAGGAGGAGAAAAGGGAGGAGAGGAGGAGGAGGAGGAGGAGAGCAGAGGAGGAGGAGGAGGAGGAGGAGGAGGAGGAGGAGGAGGAGGAGGGATGAAGAAGTCGAAGGGGAAGATGAGGAGAAACAGATCTCCGAGCCGAGCCACGGGATCTTTCCGCGCGGAGCCGCGCAGCTGGACGACCCGACCTGGACTCGGAGAACGTGGCAGCGGCTCCCGGAGGTGCCCCCGGCCGAGGCCCAAAGCGAGCAAAGGCCCCGAAGGAGACTGGGGCCCTGGGACACCCCCAAACCGGCTCGCAGGCGCCGCCCTCGAGCGATCAAGGGCCGACGCGCCTCGGCTGCAGCGCCACGGAAGCCCCGGCCTCGGTCAGCTGAGAGAGCCAAAACCGAACGGGCCCGGCGCTGCGCTTCAGCTCCCCCGCAAGGCCGCGGAAGAGGAAGAGGAATACGAATAACAATAATAATAATACTAATAATAATAATAAAAATAAGAATAACAACAATACTAAAAACAATAATAATAATAATACTAGTACTACTAATAATAATTGTAATAATAATAATAATAATAAGAAGAAGAATAATACTTATAATAATAGTAATAGTAATAATGATAATATCAATAACAATAATAATACTAATCAGAATAGTATTAATAATATTAATAATAATTATAATAATAAAAATAATATGGCAAATAATAATGGTCACAATAATGATGGTCATAACCATACTACCAGTAACGATTAAAACAAATAACATAATGACAATGAGGCTAATATAATATATCATTATAAGAAGACGAACAAGAAGTGTCAGACGAACGATAAGAACCGCAACAATAATACTAGGAACCATGTAGAGGAGCAGAGCAGCTGTATCAACACGACCGGCTGGCGGTCCGCGAGGAGCTCTTGGATCGCCTCTGGCTCCCCCCTCCCGGGCGCGCGCAGCGCGCCCAGGGGCGGCGTCGGAGGCGCCGCGAGCGGGGCCCCCGGCGCCGATCCGGGAGGTGCGCGCGGGCCTCCGGAAGGTGTATGTGCATGCAGCTTCCCCCTCGAGAGGAGACCCTGACTCGCGGTGGATTCCCGGTCTCGACCGCTTTTAGCTGGCGACGTGCATGCAGCTTTCCCTTCGAGAGGAGGCCTGACTCGTGGTGCATTCCCGATCTCGACCGCTTTTTTTTCTCCCCCCCAGAGCGAGATGGCACCACAAATGAGGAAAAAGGCGCGTCTCAAGTGCAACCTCTTTGCTGTGCAACCTCTTTGTGGTGGCCGATCTCGACCGCTTTTAGCTGGCGACGCGTTTCGGACTCGAGGTCCTCTGGGCCAAAAAGGCTGCGGTGTCCCACGCGCGTGCCGTGCAGCGCGCGAGCAAGGCAGCAAGCGGTCAAGAGTGCGGGGGTGAGGGTGAAAAAACCCGGGGGTGAAAAAACCAGGTCTGCCGCACTTCGGGCCATGTTTCAAGCTCATTCGATATGGATTTCCGCACCACTGTTCCCTCGCTGTTTCCGCCATGCCTTTGCGGAACTCTCCGCCATACTCTGCCGAGGCGGAAGCTTCCGCCCTACTCGTTCGCATCGTTTGGGGTGCTTCCGCGGCGCAATCTTCATTCGGAGAAGTCGACCAACATGCGGCGGACCCGGAGTCAGTGCCGGATGCAACCTTTCGTCCCATACCCGTTTTTGATGACCCCAGTGCCCGATGCAGGGCCCCAGGGGACGAAACCGAGGGAAAACCGCCGTCGTCGTCGGGACTGGATGGGGGGGCGGACCAGAGGAAAGGAAGGAGGACGAGGAGGACCGGGGAGGGGAGCGGTGCGATCCCAGCGTCTGTCCAGAGAACTGCTGCAAATGTTCTATCGCTCAGCCTCTTGGGGCCAAGCGGAGGAGTCTAGGCAGGGTCTGCCTGCGAAGCCTCCGGGGCAGCCGGGCTCCATCCGGCCTGGGTCGCCGTGCACGCCAGAGGTCAACGCGCCTGCAGGCACGCACCCGGAAGACGCTAGTAACCCCCGCCTCACTCCAGTCCTGGCCCTCGACAGACGGTGCACGCAGCATGAGGAGGCCGGCCCCATTGAGGAGGAGGAGGAGGACGACGACGAAGAGGAGGAGCATGGAGGAGGCGAGAGAGGGAGGAGGGGGGCGGGGAAGAGGCAGGGAGGAGGAGGGAGGGAGGGAGGGAACACGGCGGGGATTGACAAAAATCATCGACCTCCGACGTTCTGGTGTTTCCCACGTCGGGCCCAGGACCACTTTCTCGGGACCGGTGTTTCGTCCCGGATCGGGGGCCCGGGAGGCCCGGCGAGGGCCCCCGGGTGCCGAAAACGCCGAGGGGGGTGGGGAGACGGGGCAAAACGGGCGGGGCCGCACTGGAGGTCGACTTGCCTGGGCCAGTTTGCCTCGATGTACTGGCATCTGCCCTGATCTGTCCAGCTGGGTCTCCGCAGTTCGACTGGCGGAAAGTCGGCCAGCCCTTGGAGAGAGGGGGGACCGAACGAACGAACGAACGAACGCCAGAGTGGTGCGCGCCCCGCCTGGGAGCCCGCCCGTGCCCACTGGGGCACGGCGTGGAGGCCGTGGCCTCGGAAGTGTGAGCTTGCAGATGCCCGTCGCTTCGGCGAGGCGCGCCTGCCGACGGGTGGTCGAGACGGGGGAGAGGGGGCGCGGGGGTGGAGGCGGGGCCCAACGGGCGGGGCGGCGGTCTCCTGTCGAAGTCCAGGCCCGCGCTCTCGCCGCGCCGCACGCGCCGGACGGGCCGGCGGCGCTTGGGGTTGCCCTGCTGGAACTGCACGAAGCAGTTGTCCATGATGCCTGGGCGCCGGATCGAGGAGGAGGCGGAGGAGGGCAGGGAGGAGGAGGAGGAGGAGGAGGAGGAGGAGGAGGAGAAGGAGGAGGGCTGGGAGGAGGAGGAGGAGGAGGAGGAGGAGGAGGAGGACAAGCTAGGTACGCTCGCGTCATATCTGACGTCCAACCCCTCCCTCCCATCCCTGACCATGGTGTAGATCTCCTATCTATTTGCACAATCGGATGTCGAGCAGGGCAATGGTCCCGAAAGGGTGCGTGATGCACGTAGAGCACGGAATAGCAGGGCGTAGAAGAGCACGGCAGAGCGTAGTATGCCATAGCATGGCGTGGCGTTGTGTAGTGAAGAATTGCATCACAAAACTTTGCAACGCAAATCATGGCATCGCACAGCGGCACAGAACAGAACATGTCATAGCATGGCGTTGAAGAACAAAGCTTAGCATGGCATAGCATGGCGTGGCACTGCGTAGTCAAACATTGCATATCCTAACATTGCAGCTGAAAGCATGGCGTCGCACAGCGGAACACCACATTGCATTGCATTGCATGCCGTGGCATGGCACTTGAAATAATGACGCCAACGCTGCAGCGGGAGCACGATTCGGGACGAGCGGAAGCGCGGAAATGAGGCCAACGCTGCAGCGGGAGCACGATTCGGAACGAGCGGAAGCCCGAAAATGAGGCCAGCGCTTCAGCGGGAGCACGATTCGGAACGAGCGGAAGCCCGAAAATAAGGCCAGCGCTGCAGCGGGAGCACGATTCGGAACGAGCGGAAGCCCGAAAATAAGGCCAGCGCTTCAGCGGGAGCAACATGTTGAAACAAACCCAAGCGAACACCCAACTCCAAAACAATACGCGGAATGGGCCGAACATCTTCTGGACGTCATCAGGGGAGAGAGGAGAGTAGTACTCATGTTGTGTAGCTGTGGAGGAAAAGAAAGAGGAAGAGGAGGAGGAGAAGGAGATTCGAGGTTCGAGGAGGAGGACAGGGGGGGATCGAGGACTGAGGAAGGATGAGGATCGAGGATTGAGAAGGAGGACAGGGGGGGATCCGGGGAAGCACCCCCCAAAGCATGGAGCCAGTGCCGCCCCCTCCGGCGACGGAGCGCGGCAGCTCTGCGTGGACGCAGGGCCCGTCGCCGCTCCACGCGCCTTGGGTGCCATCACTGCGCCGCCTCGGCCTGCGCCCCCGAGAGGCGAGGGCGCCCCCGCTTTGGGCCCCCTT